TGCAGCGCGTGCAGGGCGGAAAAGGCGGCAACAAGGCAAGCCATTACCGCCTTCAACAGCGGCGGAGAGGGGCGGCAGCAGGTGGTGGACAACACGGGGCAGGGAGAGGAGGACGGCGGAGAGGACGGGGACTCGGGTGGGAGCGGGGCAGCTGGTGAAGCAGGCAAGAGGCGTCGCTGCTGCGTCGTGCGCGTTCTGTCTGAGCTCAAGGCGTTCAGGGAGGAGCTCAACATGGTTGAGAAGCTCTTCAAGGCACACGGGCACCTGTGCATCTTCTTGCCGAAGTACCACCCAGAGCTCAACGCAATCGAGCGATACTGGGGGTACATCAAGCACCTCCTCCGCCTCCACTGCGAGTATTCCCTTCGCCACATGCTCCAGGTCTTGCCCGGCGCGTTGAGCGGCGTACCCGCACGGTTTATCCGCGCATGGAGCAGGGTGACGTGGCTGTACATCGAAGCCTACGACGAGGGCCTGGAGGACTACCTCGAGTACCGCGATCTCAAGGAGTGGGGGAAGCACCGAGAAGCCACCGCCAGGGGAGATGCCGTGATTCAGGCGAGGGGGGCGGGGAAGACGCCGGAGCAGAAGAAGGCAGCCGAGGCGAAGGCGCTTGCGGCTGCGCAGGAAGTGCGCAAGAAGTCGATGGCAGCGACCAGGGAAGCCTTCAACACGTGGACGAGCAAGAGAGCCTCCCGGAAGGAGCAGCTACGGCTGTGGATTTTGCGCAACACGATGAATTTTTTGAGGAAATGGTTGGGCGGGCACGCTCAGGCGTGAGTGGGGAGGGTACGTATCTATATGTCGCGGTGTGTTGTAGTGTTGGTTTCTCGCGTTTAGGCGCGGTAGAGGCGTTCGTCATGGTCACCAACTCAACGCTATAGCTGTCTCTCTTGGTATCGGACTTGCTTAGAGAGAACGGATGTGATTGCTGCATGCTTTGTTTGCAGCACCTTCACCAGCCAGGGGTTGAGCAGAAAGTAAACGGCGGTATTGTATGTATGTACATATGTAACGTGTAAATAATGTCAATATGGATTGACAACGGTTTAACTGATGTTCTGAAGGCATATACGTGTAGAAGGGAGGGTTGACGGGGGGTCGTGGTGTACTTTGGGGGCTCCGTGGGGTCATCAGGGGGTGGGGGGGTGGGGCTCCGTGGGTCATTTTGGTCAAAAATGTCGCATTTCACCCAATCACCAAAAACTCATCGGATATCGACGAAGCTCGACGCCGCGGTCATGCCCAAAGTTGTTTCACTTTCCAAATAATTTTTTTTCGAAAGATATCGCGAAAAACAAGATTGTGAATATTTATTTGCCCAAACGGACCATATGCGCAAAGTTTCAAGGTCTGACTCCTAAAAACGACGTGGAAATTTCATGTTGAATATCCTTGTGTCCATTTCCTTGAACCAGCTTGTAGAACGGGTTCGTTAGGTTTGGTTAGGTTGGGTTTGGTTGCGTGGGTTGGGTTGGGGTTGTTCGGTCTCGGGGAAGGGTTGGGTTGAGTTGGTTTTGGTTACGTTTGGTTTGGCTAGGTTTGGTTATCACTTAGAGTTGAGCAAGTGGGACAAGTTTCACTTCGTTTAAGAGTTGGGAAAGTGTGATGATTTTCACTTGATTTATGTATGGATTTCGATCATTTTGTTTACTTGATTAATTCATGGATTCCGATCACATTTTTCACTTGATTAAAGTATCGAAATTTCGGACAAGAGTTCATTTTTGGTTTTTGTTTGCGGGATTGTGCTGGCTAAAACCCCAATTTTAACTGGGGAACCATTCAAGAATGGTACCTCGGACCGTTGTATTGTAGGATATTCTTCTCACAAATTGCCACCGTGATTGTTACCTTGCAACAGCCTGTGTGTGTGTTTCCTTTACGTGATGAGGATGGATGGCTCCCCCCCGTGGTGTTCGCCCCCGCTAGCTTACTCCTTTCTCTCGCTTTGCCTTTCGGCCAACGAAGCGCCAAATTTAATCATCTAATCTGGTCGACAACACAAGTAAGTGTACTTGACAGTCACTGTGAGCCTCTGCACACTGCTACTACACAGTGGCCATTGCCAGCAATAAATACCTGCCACAAGATTACCCCCCAACAGGTTATGAGCCTAGTTGCATCACAGCAAAGGGGGGCATCAGAAGCATCACCCGCACAAGCGTCGCGTACAGCCCAAGATTGGCACAACGAATCGAGTTCCGAAGAATCCACCACTGGCCAGCACTTCTTCGGGGCACGTGCGGACTTTCATCGAGTTCGTCGGGTTCTTCTCCGAACTCATCCGGATCGTCCACTTCACGTTCTACAAGCTCAGAAACTTCTAAACGTTCAACGAGCTACATAGGTACCCTCAACGCCTAGACTACCCGCCTGGTTCTAGTGCTTTTGGTTCACACGATTGGTCCGAAATGGCTTCCGCGCTGTCCTTCCTTGCACGGTACGCCCGCGTGACTATGGCTGCGCGTTGTCCTCGGGAATGGGAAAAGATGGACTGACTCATCTGGGCGAGGATTCGTGCCGGAGTGTTTTCCATTCTTTGCGAACGCGAAAAACGCTATCCTTTTAGGGGAGTACTCTGTTTGGTCGGCATTGGTGCGAAAGCGAACACAATAGCGATAACAACACCTCTGGCATATGAATATCTATCGACCAGCGTCGTGATGGATGGCGGTGACAGTAGAGATGGGTAAGATAATCTATCGCCGAACGAAATGACGGGCGGGTGAACAATGGGATAATCTCCGGTTGGTTGAACATGTCCGAAATTTGGAGCAGTAATCAGCTGTACATGATGGTACACACACGACGGACGTCCACGAAAACTTGTGAGGATGTGTTTTCTGTGGTGGCTACCGGATCGGGCCTGGGTACTGCTCGCTAGCATTCGCCTTCGCCGAAATAGCGTCCCTTACAAAATATTGTCAAGGGTCTGTTATCACACCCGCCCCGGGTGTAAGATGGTGGGTTCACTAGCCTCTAGAGATCGATGCGGATATGACGGAGATCAAAGATGCCCTCGTAGAACTGTCCCCACGAGATTATGTATATAGTTGTGTCGAGCTTTTGAGGCGCACCGCAAAACAAAAGCCTCAAGAGACTACATAGAGGACCTGGGAGCATCGTCAGAACCACCGTCCAGACCATGGCAACGTTCCTGAAAGGTACACTGCCAAGTGGCCATGCATCCACTGTAAACCTGGCGAGGCCACACGTTGTGAACCCAAACAACATAATGACTTCAGAGAAAACCATACAGCCACACGATCAGCAATTGCTCACACGTCACAATGCAACCCTTGGTCTGATATACGGTGTCCGCACATTAACCACACACTGTCTCGCGTGTTGTCGCGCGTGCCGTGCACCGAACTCCGACCTCTTGCTGCCATCCTTAACATACGCCGGCTGCTTCGTGCAATCCAGATGGCCGCACCTCTTGCCACGGACAGGAACCATGCCCTGCTGGCTGTGCTGGGCCCAGAACTCCGCCTACCCCCCGTGTTTTCCATAAATTGCCCCCCTTGTGCACCTCGGTTGGCTGCACCTCTTGATGACGACATTGACCATACCCTCCTGACTGTGCTGTACACAGAACTCCGGCTTATTGCTGCCGTCGGCACCATATGACCGTTGCTTCGTGCGTCCTAGATGACCGCACTTCCTGGTGGCGACATCAACCATACCCTGCTTCGCGTGCTGTACACAGAACTCCGGGTTCTTGCTGCCGTCGGCACCATATGACGGTTGCCTCATGCAACCTGCATGGCCGCACCTCCTGCCATGGACGGGGACTATGCCCTGCTTCGCGTGCTAGGAACAAAACTCCGGCTTCTTGCTGCCGTCTTTACCATATGATGCCCCCTTCATTCACCCTGGGTGGCCACACCTTTTTCTGGCGACATCAACTATACCGTTCTTCGCGTGCTGAAAACAAAATTCCGGCTTTTTGCTGCCGTCCTTTTCATTTGACGGAACCTTCGTGCAACCTGGATGGCCGCACCTCTTGCTGACGTTGATCATGCCCTCCAGGCTGTGCTGAGAACAGCGCTCGGCCTTCTTGCTGCCTTCCTTACTGTATGACGGATACTTCATGCATCCCGGATGACCGCACCTCCGGGTGAAGATAGAGGCCATAGCCTGCTGGTCGTGCTGAGAGAAAAATTTGGGCTTCTTGCTGCAGTCTTTATCATGTGATGCATGCTTCATGCACCCCGGATGGCCGCGCTTCACGTTGACCATGCCATGCTCGCAGTGCTCGGCGCAGAACTTCGGCTTCTTGCTGCCTTGCTTTCCAAATGACGGTTGCTTTTTGCACCCTGGATGGCAGCACCTTCTCTGGACGACATCAACCATACCCTCCGGACGGTGCTGAGCACAGAACTCCGCCTTCTTGCTGCCGTCCTTACCATATGACGGATGCTTCTTGCACCCCGGATGGCCGCACCTCTTGCTGACGACGTTGACCATACCCTCCAGACTGTGCTGGGCGCAGAACTCCGCCTTCTTGCTGCCGTCCTTACCATATGACGGATGCTTCTTGCACCCCGGATGGCCGCACCTCTTGCTGACGACGTTGACCATACCCTCCAGACTGTGCTGGGCGCAGAACTCCGCCTTCTTGCTGCCGTCCTTACCATATGACGGATGCTTCTTGCACCCCGGATGGCCGCACCTCTTGCTGACGACGTTGACCATACCCTCCAGACTGTGCTGGGCGCAGAACTCCGCCTTCTTGCTGCCGTCTATACCGTATGACGGATGCTTCTTGCACTCCGGATGGCCGCACCTCTTGCTGACGACGTTGACCATACCCTCCAGACTGTGCTGGGCGCAGAACTCCGCCTTCTTGCTGCCGTCTATACCGTATGACGGATGCTTCTTGCACTCCGGATGGCCGCACCTCTTGCCGACGACGTTAATCATGGCCGGCTTGGAGTGTTTTGAGCAGAACTCCGCGGTCTTGCTGGAAGCATTGCCGTACGATGGCCTCCTTGTGCAGCCGTCTTCCTGGCAGAACAGTGGTCTCTTGCCACGGTGTCCGGCAGTCGTACGCGTTGGCTAAAGGAACGCAACGGATAGAAACATGATCGCGCCGAGCGCAAAGTTCCGCGTTGACCGGGTCATTTTCACATCACACATGCGAGCGACATCAGAGATAATCCAATCCAGAACACGACGCCGCCAAAAGGGCGTCCATGCCCCTGGCTGTAAGGTTGTTCATTGTCCACGCTCTGCGTTCTCCCCGATCACGGGGGACAGTTGCAGTTGCAGGAAATAGTTTGCCTATTACGCGAGAACGGCATCGACAAAGTCTTTCGCGAGCTGCCTTCGTCTTCAGGTGTGTTGGGTCTGTTCGGTTGCCCGTTCAAGCGCGTGTTCTTCCATGGTATGCTGACCAAACCGTCCAAGGTTTCAGGCGTACGTCATGCGTTTATTAACACGCCTGGAATAGCGGTCTACATTGTGCGAGACTCTGCCTCCCTTCTTCAACGCCACTCGGAATGCATCCCCTTTGCAACCGCGGAGTAGGTACGAAGCGACTATGTGCGATTGAGGCTTCTGGCTACTATTAAGCAGAAGTAAAAGCGCGTCTCTACATATATGCCTCTTGTCTACAACGAAGCCATTCAAGAGAAAATTGGTCGACCATCGGAAACAACGCGAACCTACACAGTTGTAGACTCGCTAGATTTGCAATTATCGCCGGTTGTCTACAAGCATCGTTGTGTTCCAATACTGGATAGCGCTTTCGAAGGTTCCCAATTCTAACACCTGCGCACTACTGCTCAGCAGAACTTGACCCTACCCCACCAACCAAACACCAACTATCAGCTGTCCGGAAAGCATCGGCAAATATGAGCAACGTGCTTGGCAACCCTAAGCAAAGCATACACAGGTCAACCCCACAGTCGTGATCACATATGCATAGAAACGCGACAATATAAACACTTGCACTCACCGGCTTGCGTGGTGCCGCCGTCGCCCTGCCCCCGCATTGTTCTTTTGTTCCTGGCGAGGAAGTCGTCCGCTGGCGCTTGGCCGACGCTCCTGTGAGCCTGCCAATCAAACACAAAGTACAAAAGGGAGACGCAACCGAACACCTGGGTGATCTAGAATGGTATGTGATTGCGTGTACCAACGTAAATCTAGTTGGGATACCATGGACCATGACACTAGGCAAAGTCGCACCTCAATGCATGTCACGTGAAAAAGTGCGAATATACCGCCCGTGTACGTGATCGATGTAGTGCACATCATCTCTAGGTTGCCGCGATACACTGAAACGCCTACGCACAGATCCCAGCTGCCACGAACAACGTACAAAACGTTCCGCAACCAATCGACGCCATTTCAGAGTTGCACACTGATATAGCTAATCGACCTAGATGATTTAAAGATGGTGACATGCAGACGCCCAGGAGTGCACCATGGGTCCGTCTGAAGGTTCGCCCATTATTTTCCACCGGAGGGGCAGAGAGGGGGTATGAAGTCTACGAATAGCTTAAAATTGAGAAATAGGCCTGAAAGCACCCGCATTAGACCTTGTATTCCGGGCGAGGGGGGGGATTAACATTGGGCCAGGAAAGCAACAGTTGAAGCGCGCAGCACGAAATATCCTGGTCAAATATGAGTCAGCCAGAACACACGTGTAACCAGCCTGGGATGGACCTGAGCATAGGTGATTGGTCGAGGCCCACTTTCACCCTGCAGTGTCACGTAGCCCGGGGTTTTCTCGACCATGATCCTCTCTGGTTCATTCGCGTCAAGTGTGCCCTGGGGTGTCGAGTTGTAGCGCGCTGACGGGAAAAGGGAATTCACCGGCCACGCTCTATCCAGAAATCACGTTCTGTTCAAATCAAATGGCAATAAAATACGAATCTCCGGCCTCAAGCGTGTGATACCAACTGCATCCCAACACAACACACTCCATTCTTGAACACGTACCAAAAAGATCCCCTTGAAATGATAGTGAAGAGGAAATAGCTGAAGTGAGACATGTCCGTGACTGCCACTGCTCATGGTCGTGAAGACTGGGCAAACATACTACCTGACAGCTGTAACACAGACAACCATGAAGGTGGAATTAAGGCCGCCTGAAGCCAAACCCGTCCACCTACTAATACCAGCTCCTTGCTGGCGATCGACATTCGTTTGTTGTGAGAACCAACAGATACAGATGGCGCCCGCACTTAAGAACCTCCAGTTTCGGCCGAGGCTGGGGTTCTTATATTGCCGATCATCCTCTTGTGGGCTATAAATCGCCACAATAAAGGTTTTAGTGTAGGGATTCTTAACTCGGCTCACAAATGGGGCCCAAATGCTTAGCTTCTGATTTTTTCGAGTCTCAACTTCTTAACTGCGAAGTTCTTAAGTGCTGGCGCTATCTGTGGTACAACATATAAACAATATGGTGTGCTTTGAATGGGTCAGTGTAGGGAATGCGGGGTGTGTCATAAGCTAAACCCATTTCGTACTAATTGGCTTGGTAGGTGTGTATCTCCGCTTCCTTCACAGATACTACAAATTCACCCATACTTCTTTCGGATTGCTGCAAGTCATGCATGTTCCGTTTCAGTCGGTGTCTGGAATATGTCCGCAAAAAAGAGGATAGTATCTTGGATTCGGCTGCCATCAATTGCTTGGGGCGCTGGAACATTTGTGTTTGGCATCCTTTGGTTGGGGCAGAAGCTGCTTTCTGCAACAAATAGCAGACGGATCTCATTCCCAGTCAGGGCCGAACGCCAGAGCAAGCTTGCCACGGCAGGAAATACCGTGAGCGTTTGTGCAACACTGCACGGGTGAACGTGGGCATCGACCAATCAGCGGGGTTCATTTCACGCTCATGAGACATGTGTACTGTTTCCTGCTGAGTAGCTTTGACAAGGCGTATAGTGTCGTGTACCAGAATGATCACAATTCAAACACCAGCGCGCTCGGCTAAGACTCAAGAACGCAAAGGGTAGAATGAACACGGGAAACCGGTATAACCGTGCCGTTAAGTGCTACAGACCGCGCGCGGGATACCGGCTGATCACCAACAGACTTTAGTTTTGGCGGGACGAACAAGGCTATCATATCCTCCATGAAACAGTTACGGTGCTCTCTAACTGCGGGACCTCCTGACCGAGTGTATACACACACGAGTGTGAGCACCACCTTCCACACTGGACACCCTAAGGGCAAACCATGATACTGAGTTCGTACAGCAACGGCGGGCTTCGATTTTGCGTCCCACGGTATGTTCTTGTGTGTGCGCTGTCAGCAAAATATACATGATCTTGCAAAATGCGTGGGCCAGCTTTGAATCGTGTTCCGAGACGTCGGCAGGCTATGGCCGCCTGACAGAGAATCGCGGATTCCCTCTGATCTAAGTTGAACATCCCGATAACGTCGTCTAGGCGCTAGAAAGGGATGGCCCTCGCACCCTACACGTCCATAGTGAGACAAAAAAAAAAAATCAAACCAACACTCCTCGAACACCTTGCCAACCAGCGTGCCGAAGTTCTTGGGAGACGACGAATCACAAGCTAACGCTGCTAATCCCAGCATCGCATGTGGCAGCTGTACTCAAACACCCGTAATTGGTGCTATTGTTCACCTTTCAGCGTAGGGTTGTCGGCTCCCGGCTGTCCAGATGCTGTACCGCTGGAGGGCATTGGCCATACCCCCGCGCTTGCGCTTGCCCGGCCTTGGCTGCAGCGGGTCATCGGATAACTGCGAAGAATGGGTACTGTTCATGCCGCAAGCACTGTCTCAATGAAAACGACAGTCTACTCCGGGGCTACATAAAAGATGCACATGTGAAAATCGACAAGAATCAAGCGATCATGTGTGCTACAATATCTGGCCAAAAAGCGGCGGACATGGTAACACGGGTTGTCGGTGGGGGACCGGCCAACAAACAACGTATACGCTGTATCCAACAAACGAGGGAGTTAATGCAATAACGTGTATTGCCTTCAAAGGGATGGGTTTACCCTGTGCAAAATATTCATCATCGTTGGATCGAGAATAGCGCCGCCATGTTGCACAAAGGTCGCACTGACCATGCTTCCAAATTCATCGAGGAACGATAGTGAACAAAAACTGCATATGGTCTTTACAGCTGGAAGTTCGGTGCGACAGGTACGACGCATGTCCAGGCAACACAACAGTTGCATGCAGACATGAACGGCAGGTTACCCTCTCATCGTAGTCCTCCTCCTGCTCCTGCTCCTCCTCCTCTTCCTTCACCTGCATGCCATCTACGCTGGGAGTGGCCTGTTGACGCCGTCCAACACAACACGGTAACCGCAGTGTGTGCTTCAAATAAAGATGAACAACGAACGCCCAGGCGCTATCAGTTGAAAGCGAGGGGAGAAGGAATGTCGACATCATGGTAGCAAATGAGCATCAACAATCCCCACAGATTACCAGCTGCTATTGTGGCTGCGTGCTGCCTCCACATACTCTCGACAGGACCGACTTTGGCGGCATGGATCATAAATTCCTTTTGCGATGGAGAAGGTGGTGGAGTGAGAATGGCAGGGATCCGTAACGACCTATACAAGGAAAACTTGACCTTCGGACGTTCATCAAAAGGATGATAGGGGTCGAAATTATTTCGCCCAACAGACAGCAACGAACACAGAAGTCATTGCCAATAACATCAGATGTCGCCGGGTGTTTGAAAAGCAACGCCTTGGAGGCGAAAAGAAGGCACATGACCCTATTCACCCCTAGGGGAGAGACATGGGGGGAACTGCCGAGATTCCGACAATACGTGGGGTCAAACAGCCCATCGTTGGCAGTGAGTGGCACGCAAGGTTTACCTTGGCTGCCATAGCAAAATCGCCAACCTCGACTTCCAAACCAGCAGACATCGCGCCTGTGTGCATAGACACGGAACGCAGCGAGCAAGGCACCGTGGTTGCGAATGTAGAATTGTAGGTACTTCGCAAAGAGGCCATGCAGGTGGGATGATAGAACAAGCCGGTAGCATAGAGCACGGACTGCCCTTCACCACCACTGCCAAACGCAGTCCTCCCTACGCCCTCCTTTGTTTGCTGGCCCTGTTGGTACCTGAGTTTTTTCCACCTCTGTTGGTGCACTCGGAGTTCTCCTGCACGAGGTGATCCAAAGAACAGGAACAGTTACGTGGAACAAGGGGTCAACCAAAGGGTATCGTATCTGCTGTAGCCCTACCCAACGCCTCGGAATAAACTATAGATTGGATACGATAGATCATCCTGCCCGTAGCCATCACACACATCCAACGATCTGTGTGTACACAACACGCGATGTGTGCCCCAGCGGATTGGTTGAAACAATAGGCGGCGACGTTCACGGTGCGTTTTTTTTCGACGGTGCGGTGCGGTGCGGTGCGGCGGGGTCAAAGTGCATCGCACCGCACCGTGATGTGACAAGGCCGCACCGCACTGTACTGGAACATTTCGAGATGAACCGCACCGCACCACACCGCACCGTGGGGATTCAGAAAGAACCATAGATACGGTTTCCATGATGGGGCGGAGCGCGAAGCGCGACATTTTGTTCCTTCATCCCTAGGAGGGACAAAATGGCTCTATATATACTGGCTCTTCCAACCAACGTGATGCAGGCGCCGTTCTGCAGTTTTCGTCTTACTTTGGACCGTTCGAAAATAATCGCCGTTGTTCGACCAGAACAACGTCGATACATAGAGCACCGATATACGATCTGCTGGCTTGTGCGGAAGAAGACAATTAGGGCACTCTTCGTCACACCAGCTTGGTCGCGTTTCGACAATACATGGCCGCAGATGGCCGAGGTTGACAGGCCTTTGTCCCCAAAATCATAGGATATTTTCACCCTTCCCCGGGAGTTGTAGAGGTAATGGAGGAACAACAAATCGGAGATCTCTCACATTCGCATATGGAGTCGCTTGGTTCAACCTAGAAGCAACCGAGGAAGCACTAAGCTAAACACGCGACATCGCTGGGAGGGGCAAGACAGCCCTGGCGAGGGAAGGGATCCATACGCACAGCTCATGACGGGTGTCAATATCATTGCTGTTGCTCCGGTGTGTGGGGAGGGATCACCGCCAAACCCAACCCCTGCGCCTGGGGCACAAAATACGTACAAACTGATCGCAGCAGAAGCGGCGTTCTTTTTGCAGGCTGTCAGACTCTCGCGCTCGCAATTTCTCAGCGTTCTGCAGCCTCCTGGTCGGTGATAATCACCACACACGAACACAGCTCGTGGCGGATACCGTTGTGATTGCTGTTGGTTCGGTGTGTGGGGAGGGGTCACCTGGAACCCAACCTGTGCCAGGGGAAAAAATGGAAGGATGCGTAAACCCAGCGAGATGTTGTCGGAAAGCTCTAGACGAGACGGTTCCTACAACACTATTATTGGCACCGTCATTCTTTGTGGTGTGGAGCACCTGAGCTTTGAACATTAGTCCAGGGTGTGCAATCTTGTGTCACCCACGGTCTGCTGAATGCGCGCATGCACACGAATCGAACGGCCGTTCGTTGCACTTATTTTGTAGAAGTAGAACATATTGTTGACTCGAATTAAAAATTCAAAATGATCTACTGCACCCGCCACGCACCTGCAACAAGCTAAAACGGTCGCAGATACGTAGGCCTCTGCAAGGTTTGAGTCGGCTACCCGCAGGCTCATTGCCCTACCCTATCTAGTATCACGGTGCGATTTGCGCTGCTACGTTGCCAAAACCGTCGTTAACCGCGGTAAAACTGCAGATAAGTTTTCCCATGCAGACGCATGTCTGGAGAGGGAACAGCTGTTCGTAAGGGAGCGCAAGTAGTTGTCGAGGTCGACTCTGACTGAGGGTAGCAAGGACCCGTTTAGGGTGGTTGTGAACGAATTGAGCCGCCTGGCGCTGCCAGAACTAACGCACTTCTTGTTTGTACTGGAACAATTCCACAGCAGTAGAGGCAGGTAATTTGCATCTAGCTGCTGTTGATGCGTTTGTTGGGACATATGGTGAATGCATCAATGGGGTGAACGACACGCGCCTTCTCATTTTGTCTGGGTTCTCGGGTTTTCTGACCGCATGGCCACGGGGTTTGTTGCTGGCTGCGTCCATTCACAGCACAAGGTGTATTAATAATACTCGACAAAAACCGAACGTGTTCCACAATATCGTAGATACTCCGCCTTTTTTGTCACGGACAACCGTATTATTTCGACGGTTTCTAGAACACAGCGGTCGCCCCGGTGGTCTAGTGGTATCCTCGTAATAAACCGCTAGTCGCAGAGGTCGTGAGTTCGAACTCCTTCGGGGTGAAAATTTGCAAACTTTGTGGGTGAAAGCGAAATATAGCTATAAAGCTCTCGTGAGTACCAAACTTCGACGTTAGCACCGTTGACGAGGGAAAGGGACGGCTGGACCCTTCTCGCGATAAAAACAAAATTCAGCACGCACCGCAGGAGGAAGGTGGGGCATGAAAAGAAATACAAAGAAGAAAAAAGCCCTGGTGTTTAACCCCTCCTGTGTGACCCTGGATGGCTGTAGTTGTACGATAAAATACACTGAAAAGTGTAGTACTCTACATACGCTGAAAAGTGTAGTACACGTCTCATCACGAAAAAAGGGGGGACTGCCGCCATAATTAATACGACGAAAACACACACAAACACACATAAACGCACGGCGGTTCACCGCCGCAACACCGCCCTTCGCGCGTGATTGCTCACGGGGTAGAAAAAACCGCACCGATAAAAAAAGTGCACTGAACCGCACCGCACCGCACCGCATCGTCACATTTTGGAGATGAGAAAATACTCACTGCACCGCACTGTAACGCTTCGAGTTGAATATAACCGCATCGCACCGCTCGGTAACATGTTGAGACGACGACAACCGCACCGCACTGCAACATGCCCATGTAAAAAAAAACTGTGCGGTTCTACTACCGTACACCGCGTCCTGCCATGAAACAAGAAAATAAAAAATAGCAGCCCACAACACGAAGGTACTGTTACTGTTGCACATCAAGCGTTCATAAACTAGTCAGTCAAGGACACACCTGTCTTTCACGACCGGCGGATCAATACGTGATCCCGAGGCTGCTGCTTCAGCTTTGGCCGCGCCTGTTGCTTCGACTACCGCCCTTGCCTTGTTGCTGCTGATTGTTCGGGGGCTGCTGCGGGTCCGGGGATTGTAAGAAGAGTTGGTAAAAGCACGCGCGATGGCATCACGTAGACAACACAATATAGCACACCCACATGAGGAACCACACGTCCACAGAATACGGCACCCCGGTGATAATTTTGTTTCATAAGATAACACACCGCTTGAGTTTATGCCGCATAGATTCACGCCCACCCCCTTTTCTATCACCGGGGTGACACAGCATCTGCCCCGTGGGCATCACACACACAAACATCTGCGTAGCTCTTTTTTGTCGTGCCCAATAGGAAGGCATGCAGCAGCCTGCGTTTCTGTGCGAGGGGGGCAGGACGGATGCTCACTCCGCGACCACCGAGGTCATGTGCTCAGGAGTTTTTTCACCTCCGTTGAGCTCTTTTGTTTTACCACATTCCGCAGAACCACATGTGTTTGTACAGGCGTTGCTATCGCACCCCCGCAGTACCACACCCCTTCAAGTGTGCGGCAGCAGCGGTTCGACTCTACAAGTAGTGTCAAAACAACTCCTTTCGATCACACACCCTCATTATCACACCCCCAAGCACACCCTGTGAGTTTTCGGACGTGCTATCACGAGCCTTGGTTTATCACACCCCCTTTGGGGCCCCTGCGAGCTGCACTTGATCACCCGGGTTAAATAAGATACCACATCTCCCACAGGATACCACACTCGGTGACAGAACATTATTTAGCCCTCCCAGTACCCGGTCCCTCCGCAAAAAAAAATGCCGAAAACATAATGGTCAGCCATTGGCCGGGCCACAGTCCCTCCAAAGAATCTGAGCTCCTTGCCAGACAGACGGTGACTTGTCTTCCGTATGAACGAGCAGTGTCCCCCAGAACACGTGGGGACACTTTTCATGCTGAAGCCAAGTCAACAATTTTTCCAGTACAAGGCGATGTACAGTTTTACGACCTACGTAGGGGGCACGCGGATTGGGAGATGCGTACAGCAAGTCAGAGGCCGATGAGAGGCTTCAGACAGCATACACGTAGCTCACCACCTCAGCCAAGCATGATAGACCAAGGGTCATCACGTGCATTGCACACAGCGGATCCTAGGGTGACAAAAATGCGAAAAATAGACATTTTAGTGCTGTATCCCCAAAGTGTCGCCATTTGGGGTGTGTTATCTTGTGTCGCCTACGGTGCATCTGCACTTCGAAGTAGTACAGTACCACAGCTGTTTCCCAGGTGACGGGCAGTGATACAGTAGCAGGTCATGAACAAGGTGTCCCACTACAGCCAACTGCTCCAAACTAAGAGACTACGGCCGCACCAGCATCACAGGATCAAAATATTGCCCACCCAAACCAAACCCAATCGCCACCATGAGGCACGACTCTCCTCTACACGGCTGCACCGTAACTCAAAGTTGACAGCAACTTGTGGACATTTGCCAAGGACTGAGACTTACCAACAAAGGTAGATGCCAATGTATGGCAGCGGGAGGACACTGAATGCTCGTCCTCGACCTGCCGGAGGTTACCCGCTGAAGCACGCTGCACCCAGCTGCTTCAGGGGGCGTGAGCAACGGTGAAGAGGGTACAGTCTAGACTGCCCATGCGCTTAAGGAACCACGAATATCACACCCGCCAAGAGGCGAGGGAGTAATTAGTCCCTTTCTGCGGCGGCTGCGTTCTCCGTGTGAGTTGCTCTGGCAAAGCTCCTCTGTTCAGGGCTGTGGGGACTTCCCCTACGAGGAGAGCTAGAGCGCAGAGAGAAAGGAGAGGGTTGTGACACGCCTTCTCTCATTTTCTTGAGGGGCGGGTGGAAGGTTGGCTTCGGCCAATCGGCACCTCGGCCAATCAGCGCTCCAGATCTCGCCCTCTGCACTTTCCCCGCAGCCTTGCCAGAGGGAACTTCGCCAGAGAAGCTCGCCCGAGAACATAGCCGCCTCGGAAGGGAGCAATTGCTTTGAATTGGTTCGTATGGTATTCGTAGTTCCAGAAGCGCAGGAGCAGTCTACCCTGTTCTGCAACCCCCTTCCCAAACAGGCACCGTTTCTCACACACCTGCCCTCTCTTGCTTTATGCGTAGGTGGGACTCTCCGGGAGATGGCGGAGGGACGAGCATTTTGGTGTTGTCCCACTGCAATATCTTCGTCTGCTTCTTTGTCGGTGAGTCGCCGTCCTGTGCAAATAGCCGCAAGTTGCTGGTTGAAGCAGAGTTGTAGAGCTCTTTTGTCTACAGTCGTGGGCACCGCACGGTGACGATTTCTGCTGCGTGACAAGGCCCCAGCCTGGATCGCATCGGTCGGAGAGATGCACCGGGGTGCCATGAAAATTCTAAACGAAATGATACAATTGCGCAAGACGAACAACAAAAATGTTTCTCTAGTCTATAGATCGATTCATCAGCATTAACGATACCATGTGTTCTCACGTCGCCTCAAGGACGCTATACCCACTGAACACACGACAAGAGTCTTGTATATCATCTTGTATCTGGATGACTTCCTGTGCAATTGCGGTTTTCCTCGGGGCCCGCCGCCCTCACGACGGCGAGGCGGTGCAGAAGACGAATTTTGATGTTGACTAGTCTAATTTTTAAAACAAACGCAAGAGCACCAGAAATTGCACAACACACACCAATCCAGTAGGAAGGCGCCGCGAAAAACAGAAGTCGGTGATTCTCGCACAATAGAGGCTGCTCAAAACATACATTTAACGCGTCTGCCTCCACAGGCCTACTTTAAAATCAAGAAAAAAAATCACACTAATCAGAATTCAAGTCAAAAGAGCCAAAACGGAAGGCGCTCAAACAAGGTCAGTTTGGAGGGTTAGGTCAGGCATTCTATTGTCAGCAGCAGAGGACATCATGGAGAGGCGTCGTGCGTGCTGGCACGGTAGGTATGTCACTGGAGCTGAAATATCCAGGGTACACGGCGGGAATTTTCCGCCGAAGGCGTTCCCGCCGAAAAAACGAAAACCGCTTCCCGCCTAAAAATTCCCGCCATATTGCAAAACGCCGAAATTGGTACCGCCGTATTATTGTGTTCCCGGATCCGCCCAAAAAAACCCGCCATATTGTAGTACCGCCAAAACGGTACCGCCATATCGCAGTACCGCCGAAACAATACCAATAGAGTGCCGGTTAGTCAAATTGTTACTATTAATAAACGTACTTCTTCGTAAGGGAAGAACTGGAGTTCATTCCTCGCCCATTGCCTTTCTTTTTTCTTTTTTCTTTTCTTTTTGTCTTTGTTCTTTTTTTTCGGTTCGAATGTGGGTAGAAGTGCCTCTTCGGTATAAACTGTTTTGGTCACACACCTGCTCACAGCGTGCGTGTGGTCCAGCAAAGCAATACAACAACACAACAATACAACAATGAGCGCTTCAGAGGCCAGCAGTGGCAGTGCTACTCCTAGTAGTGGTGTAGAGACGGGGTCTGCCGACTCAGTGGTGCCTTCTTCGGACACCACAGTGGATGTGGACGGCTCGGTGACTGCGAGCGATCACCCGGAGGCGGCTCCCAGCCACACAGCAGTCACGCCGGTGTTGCAATCACCAGCTCAGAGTCAAGCCACGGTCGCGACCGACAAAGGACAGAAAGTGACAGTCACACTCATGGCTCCTGATCACGGGAAAAAGAAGTTGACGGGTTGGTGTTGGAGGTTAGTGAGTAGATTGGAGCCGACCATCAACAACAAGAACGTCATTTGCTTGGTGAAGAAGACCGACGGGACAACCTGCAACCATTTGATGAAGTGGACTCCAGCAAAGGGAGTCAAGAAGAGAGGGTCGGGAACGTCTGGCTTGACCAAGCACCTCGAAAAGGTTCACCCGGACGAGATGAAGCACGCGAAGGAGGGGGGTACCGAGGAGGAGCGGAAAGCCCCCATTCGAGCGGCAATTGGTGCGTGTAATCATTTTTTATGTTTATTTTTTCAATAATATATACGGAGTACTCTTCATGTACGAGTAGATAATAGTGGATGATGTGCTTCACGTATAGGGTTGCTGAGTGTAAAACAGTAATTATTTTATTTTTTGTAATGCATTATTGAAGTGTGTACGTAAATATTTGTAATTGTTTGCGTAAACAAAGGAAATAAATAAAAAATTAAAAATGAATATAATAGTAATACTGCAATCGATTATTAATTACACTGATTAATTATTAATATGAATAATGAAGCGTGAATATAGAATAGAGTATGCAAAACGAATATAATCTTTTCATCTTTTCATCTTTTCCTTGTTTGTGATTTTTGGTTTTCGTTTCGTCGTTTCTTGTTTTCTTCGTTGTTGCTTCTTGTTTCTTCGTTTTTTCACAGCGGGTACATCAGCAGGCGCAGCTCAATCTTCAATGC